AGAAGTTAGAACTGGTCCAGAATGCAGCAGCCTGCACAGTGTTGGGTGGCTCTCGGTTTGCCAATGTTACACTACTGTGGAGTGAACTGCATTGGGTCCCAGATTCTTTCTGAAGGTAATTGAAGGTGCTGGTTATTACCTTTAAAGCTCTACATGGCATGGGGCTAAGTTAATTGCAGGACTACCTCTCTCTGAGGGTATCTGCCTGCCCTACCAGGTTGAATAGAATGGGCACACTCCAGGTCCCTTCCATTAAGTCTTGCCATCTAGAGGAAGCTAGGAAACATGCCTTTTCTGTAGCAGCCCCTGCCCTGTGGAACATCCTTCCCACTGGATCCAGCAGACCCCCCACCCTTTTAGCCTTCTAGAAGGCCATAAATTTCTGGCTTTTCCCCCAGATGTTGGGATAGGGTGAGGTGGAAGCCCATGGATGGTCAATTGGATGCATCCAAGGAAGCTGAGGCATCAGGCTTTTGGTTTTCTGGTTTATATTGTTTTCTAGTTTTTATTGTTGTTGTGAGCTGTCCAGAATTGTGTTCTTAAGATGGGTGGCTATACAAATCGAATACATAAATAAATGAATGAATGAATGAATGTGTGTGTGTGTGTATGCATGTATGTGTGTGTGTATATATATATACACACACACACACACACATACACACACACACACATATTAAATCCTTGACTATAAGCTTTGGGCAGTTACAGTATCATGACCTTAAAGAGGGATGCCTCAGACAAGTTTGGTAGCAGAAGTGGCTAACTTGAACTCAGATTCCAGATCTTCTCCTAGTTTCTCATCAACACCTTAACCAAGTTAGTGAATTAGCCCATTTTTGGTTTTGCATAATTCATTGGATCACAAACTAGCTGGGTTGCCAGAACATAGTAAGCCCCCAAAGGCTAACCAAGCTTAGCACTAACCAAGCTTAGCATATTGTTGTGAATGCCTCTGGTAGGTCTTTAATAAACATAGTTAAGGGCACTATGTGAACACAATCCATACGATAACTTTTGGAGCTGAAGATGGGGACTAAAAGAGAAATTATAATGCCCTGTGGAAAACGGACACAATTAGCATCCCTGAATCACTGTAGTGTTGGAAGGGACTTGATGTAGGATCCGCTACACCATCTCTGACTAATGATCATCTAGTTTCCATATGAGAAGCAAAACTTGCCACTTCATGTGGCAGCCCATTCCACAGCTCATACACTCTTCTAGTTAAGGTATTTGAGTAGATCTAAGGAGACCCAGGTTCAAATCCACCCTTAGTCATGGATGATCATGGATGACTTCTCACAGGGGTGCTGTTGTGAAGTTAAATCCAAAAGAGATCTCTAGGGAACCTTCCTTGACTCTCGGGAGGACATAAATTGAATCATGATTCTCTTCTATTCATAAATTGAATCAATCAATCAGTAAGCCCAGCAGGCCCACTGCTGGGGTGCCAAGCAGATGGCTATTAAGTTTCTATGTGTCAACATCAAAAGCATTAAAGCCAATCTTACCTTACTTCTGATTTCCTGGTTGCTACAGTAAGCTACTGTATTCCCAGAATTCCCCAGCCAGCATGTTGGCTGGGGAATTCTGAGAGTTGAAGTCCACACATCTTAAAGTTGATGAGGTTGAGAAACACTGCTCTAATTAGACCCTGGGGAGCTTTGATTGCACCAACACAGCTTAATTAGCCAGCAGAGACTTCAGAGACCTGAAAGCAATTAGTGTCAAAGGAGTTGAAGAAAGGCTGGGTAGAATTAGGAGCTGGGAGAGTTGGCATATTATTTTAATGAGCTCCTCTAAGGATTGGAAATTAACGTGGAAGTAGCTTACTGTAGCAACCAGGAAATCAGAAGTAAGGTAAGATTGGCTTTAATGCTTTTGATGTTGACACATAGAAACTTAATAGCCATCTGCTTGGCACCCCAGCAGTGGGCCTGCTGGGCTTACTGATTGATTGATTCAATTTATGAATAGAAGAGAATCATCTTAAAGTTGATGAGGTTGAGAAACACTGAGTGAGAGTACCTCAACCTTTACACCAAAAGACTCCATGGCCCTGACCAACATCTGTTTGGCAGAAACAGA